ATTAAAAATACTTTTGGGAAACTTTATTTTCTATTAAAATTGTATGTATTTTATAATTGTGTAAAAATATCTGGTAGTTTTTTTTTCTTAATATTAATTATACACTTTTTGATTTTCTCATTTAAAACATTATAAATTATTAGATAAAGTAACATAAGTGGATATGATGTACAGAATAGACTCTACATCATCAACGTAATTCTCCTTTTATTGCAGAAAATGCTACCCAATTCTGAAATAAATCACCGGTAAATAATATTGTTCTTCCGTTGCAGTAGCAGAATAATAACAATAAGCATTACCTACGATAAATCACGCATAATGGTAAGGTATCCAATCAATCCGCATTCTTTCTTTGTTTCTTATACTCCCTTGACATCTGTGCGTACAAAAATCCTACCTTTAATGGAAACAATGCAACAGATTTCGTGTATTAATATTTCTTCCTCATTTGTAGATATTATAATTGTAATTACTTTCCTGTTTGTGCTTCCGTGTTATTTTTTTTTCTGCATTTTTCTTTCTCTTACCATTTTTTCCCTTTCTTTTTCTAACCATATACTTCTAAGATTTTTGACAACAAAACGTCGAAATATGCATTGTGTTTAATGGTTGTATTATTTAAATTACGACCGATGCATTATGTTGCAACGAATAAAAATGCTAATTTCATGTTCGCCCTTTATTAAATGCCCCAGAGCAGTAGAGTAATTACCAAGAAAGATGGGAATTTGTAAGATTATGGTACTTTTTCTTGCCTCTCTATTTTTCCCGGTCTTAGAGAAAGAAGAAGAAAATATTAACGACGTACCGAAAAACGAAATAACGTTTTGATTAATGAAAACATCATAACTTAGGTATTTCTAACGAAAAAGCTTCATTTGGGATTATTTAATTTATTATGTTTGAATTGCTTATAATATTTTCCTTGGGTTCTCTTCGTTTTCATATATTGCATTACTCATTTCAACTCGCCCCATGATTCCGTTACCTGAAATTCAATATACGTTTAATGAGTCTGACTTTAATAAAAAAGAGGTATCATTTAAATTGATTAACAAATTAATTTCCGAACCACATCATGCTTCCGACCATTCAAAACGTTTTCATTTCTTCTTACTCGAAAAATTGGAATGGATTTATTTGAATTGATATTCAGATTTTTTTTTTATTACCAGAATACTTTACTATTCGGAATTCAAAGTAAGAGGTTAATTTAAAATGTGTTATTCATACTTTTGCTTTGTGTTGAGCTTTGGAGTTTTTGAGCTTATTTAAGGAATTAAAAGCCTAGAGTTATTAAATTTGTATGGGGTTTGGTACAACCCGAATAATGTTTTAATTTTATTTTTGAAAAGATTTTTTTAATAATTAAATCATTTTATATAATATTTTTTATACATATCATAGGCACATAATTGGGATTCCTCGAAGCAAATTGTTATTATTGAGTAATAAATTAACAGGCATTCAACTAAAGATTTTTTTTACTTTTTAATCGTGAAATTTCTTAATTGCAGTACTTTAAGAATGCTGTGTAATATAATATGTAATTTTCATTTTAAAATTAAATAATTTTGTAGATATCATATTTGCAGCCTGTAAGAATATACAATACTAAGAATATACTCAATATTTTACTTTTAATGAGCATGGTATGCGTTGTGTCGTGACTACTGTTTGCATATGATTCTGCTTGCATTTTTTCATTTTCCACATTAAATTTCCGCACAGTTAAAAGAATGTTCTTTGTATTACACAACATCGAGGAGAGTAATTTGTTTCTGCAGAAAAGTATTGTTTTTTGTAATGCTTTACCTATTCAAATAAATTGATAGCTTTTTTTACACTCCCTATTTCCCTGACTTTGTACCTTCTGATTATCACATATTTAGTGCATCGACCAATTTCTTCTCTCGAGAAAATGTAAGATAAACCTCCTTTGGTGAGACTACTATCAGGTTTTTATCGTTAAATATTACATTTTTTACCAGAAGCATGACATTAGCGAATGGGCACATTATTAGATACCAAGCCTTTTGTGTTTCTTACATACCTTCCACACCACAAAAAAACGAGTAGAAATTTTGTATTTACCTAATACATAAGAGTGATGTTCCTTTACTACATTTAATAACTAAAGAGTGTTTTTTTTCAGGTATAGAAGTTTAAGTTGGCATTACTTTCCAAGATGGCGATCGATTTAACAGCTGTCAAGTGATTTATTCTCAGTTTGGTTTGGCAATTCATCATGAATAGACTCACGCCTCATAGAGATTCGTCGAATGGGCCCAAAACGAGATTGCCGTTGTTCCCGATTTTCATAAGCGAATTTTGTTTAGCGATGAAGCACACTTCTGGTTGAATGGCTACGTCAACAAACAAAACTGCCGCATTTGGAGTGAAGCTAATCCACAAATGTATGTCGAAACACCGTTACATCCAGAAAAACTGACTGTTTGGTGCGCTTTATGGGCTGGTGGAATCCTTCTTCAAAAACGATGAAGGCCACAACGTTATAGTCTGGTGATCGGTATAGAGCCATGATTACTAACTTTTTCAATTCTGAATTGAACAATCATGATGTCCTGGAGCTGTGGTTTCAAGAAGACGGCGGAACATGTCACACAGCTCGAGCCACAATCGATTTATTGAAAGACACGTTTGGTGACCGCTTAATTTCACGTTTTGGACCTGCGAATTGGCCTCCAAGATCTTGTGATTTAACACCGCTAGACTATTTTCTGTGGCGCTATGTAAAGTCATTGGTCTATGCGGATAAGCCACAAACGTTTGACCATTTGGAAGACAACATTCGCCGTGTTATTGCCGATATACGATCACAAATGTTGGAAAAAGTCATCAAAAATTGGACGTCCAGATTGGACTACATCCGAGCCAGCCGTGGCAGTCCTATGCCAGAAATCCTATTTAAAATGTAATGCCACAAGATTGTCTTTCGAATAAAAAAAATTCATGTCAATCGAATATTACATCGTTGTTTTATTGCAATTTAAAGTTCTATACCTCTAAAAAACACCCTTTATTTCTACTCCAGGTCAGCATTGGCAGGGTAATTTTTGTGCTCTAATAAATAATTTTTTTTGAAAAAGAAATACCGTAAAATCCGGCGTATAACTCGCATCTATATTTTCAAACAGCATTTTCAGTTTTTACGTATATTTGGCGTATAACGAACACCCGTTTTTACGAAGCTACCTGAACTGTACAAGTACAAAGCTCTTATATTTTGAAGTCTTTTATTCGAAGTATTACGCCACACTTTTGAAGCAATAGTACATTCTAGAATTCTAGCCCTTTAAGTTCCTTAAGTGTGTCATTTCTTTTAAATAAGCAGTATCCCGATCTATTTAGAAGTCTAATTTGTTTTTATGCTTATATATATATCCTTTTTTTTAATATTTGAAGCTATCATTTTTGGACCCAGCGTTTAACGCACACCCGTAAATTTCAAATTTACCTTCCGAGTTAAAAGAGCGCGTTATACACCGTATTTTATGGTATTAAAAAATTACCAGAAATATTTTACGGTTATCTAAAATTTACTAATGGTTTACCTAGTCAGAGTAATTAATGTTGAATTTCCTATAATATTTTTAAAGTATAGTACTCATTTTTTTTTTTTGCATTGGCTGGATATTTCATAGCGAAATCTTTTCAATTTTTTTCAAATATATGATGGAAAAGGAATAGGAAAAACTGTCTGGTGAAATATTCAGAATCTATATGAAAGGTTTTATTAAAACATTAGTCACATATAGTACAGCATCGAGGAATTTTTTAGGGGGGTTCCGGGGTCGAAAGTTTACCATTCTTGTATCATGCTCCTTTTGATTTTGTCAATTTTCGGGAACAAAATGCAGTAAAAAAACTAATTATTGAATAAATAACTAGCGTTAATTAATAACAAATACTTAATTAAATTTTTCGTGCTATATACTTAGAATTATAATCAATCGGGAAAAAATCAAGGGCTTTGGGGGTTTCGGACCCCCAGGACCCCCCTTGTGTGCGCCACTGGTCACAGAAAATATTATCTTGCCCGTGTGACGTCAAATATCAACTTTCTTCTCTGATCTATACCATCTGACATATCTTTGGAAAAGTTACATGTTGATTCATAAAGGAAAAGATGGTAAAACGTGACATTAATGTTTAATAGAATTGATTAATTAACTCTTTAGTTATTTCAGAGGACCAACCCACTCACCAGAATTAAAAAATTCATAAAATACTTGGGACAGAGCTTCAAAAAAATATTTGATAAGCATAACATTGAGTATTTAGAAAGTTTTGTTAACAAATGTTTTTGGCAGACTTTTTACGTTTTTAAAGATTGAGCTCGTTGATAATCAATATTGTTTTTTTCATATTATTGTCACAATGTACCTAGTTACCAGTGATGTAACCCCCGCGTAGTGGGAAGTGGGACTTTAGGGGCCCAAAGCTTATGTTATGTTATGGTTTGGGAATCCATTGTGAGATCCGGCTTGGGGCCCAAAACCTGACTTTACAGGGGCCTCTAACATTCTCCGTTACGCCATTGTTACTTACACTTATGTTTCAAATTTATTTGCAACAACTACACATTCTATAATGGAAAATTTTACTGATATTTTTTTTTAAGAAATGTAACGAAAGAGAACTACAAAACTTATTGGCTTATTCTTATATTTTACATGTAGAGTTTATCGAAAAAACAAGTGCTATAAAAAAAATTAAGTCAATTCCTACTTAGTTCACCAAAGAAAATTTTATTTTAGTTACTTTTTACTAAATAGTTACAATTAATATAAATATGTTTATACATATGACAGAATCACAACAGTAATTGACAAAGTTGAAAGCAATTTTCCATTTCCTTTCTAGATATGCTGTTGGACTATTTTTTTTGTTTGTTACTATTTATTCATTTATTAAGCTTAATTATTCTAATTAAATAGTGTAGTAAAATGAAATCACATTGTCAGAAATTAGGCCATTCCAGGTGGGATTCGAACCAACGACCTTTGGATTAGAAGTCCAACGCACACACACACACACACACACACACTATGCATTATGCTACTGGCACACAAAGAACGATTTTCATTTCTATATGTGCTGTTGGACTATTTATTCATTTTTTTAATTTAATTAATGAGTTAATATTTAAAAAAAACTTAACTTTAAGTATCATCCACTACAAGTTTAAAAAATGTATTTGAACTTGAGTGGATGAATAAAAAGTATTTTATTAACAATTAAAAATTTGAACAAGATATATATATATATATATATGAAGAAAGTGTACTATATATATAATAGTAGGAATTGGATAAGTATATCCAGAATTTGTGACACCAAAGATTTTTCTTATCTTTCCTTTCGTAAGTTATATGTACCACCTGGCATACTTCTGGAAAAGCTACATGTTGATCCTTCAAAGAAAAGTGGAGGCAGACACTGGGGAAAAAACGGGTCATTAATGTCTGGAGGAAGCGATTAATTAACGCGTTAGTAATTTCAGCGGACAAACCCGCCCATTGTAATTAAAGAATTTAACGAAATACCTGGGACAGAACTTAAAGAAACCTTAACTGAACGGGACAGGGTGAATTTAGAAAGTTCTCTTTAATAAAATACTTTGGGCACACTTTTTTTATTCCGTTTTATGGGATTAATAGGAGAAAAAGCTCATTAAGATTGAGGTGAAAGATTAATTATAATAGCTAAGAGCATTTAAAGACCTTGGATATTTGATTACTGTTATGGTTATTTGAAAAGTTTGTTTTGTAGAATATTTTTTTTTTGTAAATCGTGGTAACTCATGTAAAAAAGAAATCAATCATATTTTAAGAAACTGCTGTGTTGAGTTGTGCGTCCTGACTTAATGTGGATATAATAGTTCTATTGAATTAAGAGGAGTATAATATATGACCTTTTAAAAAGTTTTTTCTTTTATTTAGATTGCATGAATCTATGTGTCTAAATATGTTTTTAAAAATAATATAGGGTGTTTTTTTAGAGGTATAGAACTTTAAATTGCAGTAAAACAACGATGTATTATTCGATTGACATGAATTTTTTTTTATTCGAAAGATAATCTTGTGGCATTACATTTTAAATATGATTTCTGGCATATGACTGCCACGGCTGGCTCAGATGTAGTCCAATCTGGACGTCCAATTTTCGATAACTTCATAAGCGAATTTTGTTTAGCGATGAAGCGCACTTCTGGTTGAATGGCTACGTCAGCAAACAAAACTGCCGCATTTGGAGTGAAGCTAATCCACAAGTGTATGTCGAAACACCGTTACATCCAGAAAAACTGACTGTTTGGTGCGCTTTATGGGCTGGTGGAATCATTGGTCCATACTTCTTCAAAAACGATGAAGGCCACAACGTTACAGTCAATGGTGATCGGTATAGAGCCATGATTACTAACTTTTTCATTCCTGAATTGAACAATCATGATGTCCAGGAGCTGTGGTTCCAACAAGACGGCGCAACATGTCACACAGCTCGTGCCACAATCGATTTATTGAAAGACACGTTTGGTGACCGCCTAATTTCACGTTTTGGACCTGTGAATTGGCCTCCAAGATCTTGTGATTTAACACCGCTAGACTATTTTCTGTGGGGCTATGTAAAGTCATTGGTCTATGCGGATAAGCCACAAACGCTTGACCATTTGGAAGACAACATTCGCCGTGTTATTGCCGATATACGGCCACAAATGTTGGAAAAAGTCATCGAAAATTCGACGTCCAGATTGGACTACATCCGAGCCAGCCGTGGCAGTCCTATGCCAGAAATCCTATTTAAAATGTAATGCCCCAAGATTATCTTTCGAATAAAAAAAATTCATGTCAATCGAATAATACATCGTTGTTTTATTGCAATTTAAAGTTCGATACCTCTAAAAAAACACCCTTTACAATAAAACCTTACAATCCTTATAATTTATCTTTTTTTTATCTCTTTAACTTACTCGTTATTTATTCAAATCCCAATGCTTACTATTCCTTATATTTGTTGTATAATTTAGAGATTACTTGTGTATTGATTATTTTTTCAAATAACGTGTCAGCGTCATGTATGTTGAAGTAATGTATCTTTTCTCCCTTTAGATTCATGGTTTTTGTATCGCTACACATGAAGGATAAAAAATTAGTTGAAACTTTATATTTTGTAACTTCGGGTTATCTATTTCTTTGTTTGTTTATTTTTATGGCTTCTTTTATTTCGTATCGATTTACGAAATTGAACTTAAAAGGGTCAGACAATGAAGAAATTCCCCCTTCCAAAAGGCAACAGTAAATGTCTATTGACATGCGTCTTAATGCCTTCATTGTGAACAATCTATAGATCCGAAACTGTAGGTGAATGGTAACAGCTTGGGGTGCAAAAGATTTCCTATTCATCGCTGTGTGAATCAATAAATCTATACCATTTTTATTTCTTTTCTTGACTGCAGACGTTGTTGCATTTTTTTTCCATGAAGGGGAGGGAATCTAAATGTAGCTGGTGAAAATATTTTTCTAATTGGTTTAATACATTTCAAAGTTTAACCACATAAACCCAGAAAACTTAATGGAATGATATTCAGAAAATATTGCTGTTTTTTTAAAAAGTTAATCATTCATACTGAAATTTTCATTTCTTTTTCAATTCTGCGATTATTTTGGATTAATTGCAGTACAAATTTCGAGCTATACTTCTTTTCCCAGTAATATAAGTCTAATCTATCAAATCATAATTTTTGTTTTATAGAAAACAGTTGTATACTAATTAAATCAGTTGATTACATTTGATACATCAAGAGTCAAATTTGCATAACTCAATTTTTTGTTCATTTCTCGTATCTTTTATTATGGTTATATTTCATTTTCTGAATTCACTTTTCGTTCTTGATTTTATTTTCGGGGTATTTATATCTTGCTTTTTCGAATTACCGCGAATTTGTGAAACAATTGTTTTGGAGACGTGTTAAGTGATTTATTTATCAACATTTATGCATTTCCGTTTGTAATAATTTAATTAAACATAGTCGATTTATCCATAATTAAACATTTAAGTGATCTAGATAGCATGCAGTTTTAGCTCTTAAATTACATGTTGCAGAAAAAAACATTAAAATTTAAGGGAATATCTGATTATTTTAGGAAAATTCCGTGAATTTTAAAATTATTAGAATATTAATGATATTGAAATTCTTGATTTTTAAAACTGGAGATGAAAGTTTGAAATACTTTAAATCGTCAATGGCAGTTTTCTGATGAAATTGATAAAAAATATTACAAAATTGATGTTTCATTACTATTTATTTTATTATTTTCTTAGTTAACAAAATACTGCTTGATTGTGCAATGATAAGACACGAGAAATCAAATAAATTATAGTTCTAATCTTTCATACGTTTAAATATTAATTAGATTCAATAATTGCGTTCTGAGGTTTCATACGTTTAAATCGACTTAAAATTTCCATATTTCTTGTACGATCAGAATATTCATATGAGTATGAGTGTTTGTGCAACAACCAAACTTAGTAATAATTTAAATTCTAATCTTACATATTTTGTTTCTGTGTATCTGAATAAATTTCGAATACCATTTTTCAAAACGCCAGCCCACGTTAACATGGATTCAACCCTTTGCTTTGATTTATTTATTATTCCCAGAAAAAATAACTAAATTGCTTAAGCATACATTTTCTACGCGACAGGCTGATGCGGGGTTTTTCCCTAAAAATATATCCACATATTTTATCAGAATAACTACTATTTCCCTTCACTTAATAACGTGAATATAACATTCTAATTATTTTTTCCATTGTATTTTTCTGACACTATGTGGGGATTATACTGTCTCTGTTCTTAAGGTCATACAGTCGCCACTCTCCTAACGGCTGAAATATGGTAATAAATTCTTTGATTTTTTATCGTTTTTTGTCTTGTGACTACTGCATCTTTCAAAAAGAATTAGTTACGTATATACTTTACTATTTTATCACTTATGCTTCAACTACCTGTGCATTGTTATGTGATTCAATAACATTACAGTTAAATCCATAGGTGTAAAACTATCCTAAGAAACACGCTTGTTCTACTTCCTTGTATTGTTTTTTTTTAAAGATAGCCTTATCAGATTGCATACTAATTTAAACAGTTTAAGTATACAGTAATGCGGCTTAACATTTAAAAAGGTACATCTGTCATAGCGTTGAAATACGGTAAGTTAAATTTTAGCAACATGCATTGCTTGGTTTTAAAACTAAAAGTTTTCTTATTTAGTCTTTCCCATGATATGATTGATTAATATGCAATTACGACTAACGCGAGGAACTCTTATCGCCCCTTCCATATCTACATCATTCCCTAACTACAACATTCTAGAATCGCAGAATCTACTAGTTTAATGATTCTTCGACCTATATGGGGGTATTAAACGCGAACCACACGTACGTTTATTGTCGGTGGACATGTTCCCTCCTTCAATAACGAATATACTGTAGTTCCGAAATGTTTAATTAAGCTCATTTGCATTATTAACGCAGAAACTGCCGGGCGATTGATATCAGCATTGTCGAACACGCCTTCTCATTACCAGACCTGGAGATTGGTTGCCGAACAAGACCTGAGTGTGAAGAGTGGGTATACTCGCTAATCGCTTGTGTCCCCCATGCACGGAGGGGGCTATTACATGTCAACGCGCAAAATTATTGCGCGCAACGTGGCAACCAACGCATTTTCGATTAATGATCCTGCGTGAACTGACCACTCACCTAAGGTTCGACAACAATTTGATTTAATATACATGCGATCTCTTAACTAACCAAGTTGTTGCTCTCATTAAAATATAGTTTTTATTCGAGAGTTACAGGCCTTGATGCAATCAATCATTTGTGCCCTGGGGCGTTGCCTGTTATTGACATTGAGGGCAATTTGCTCATTATACTGGTTTGTTAAGTCAGGACAGTGTTGAACATTTCAACTATACATAAGGCCTAATGCTTTGCGGTAATCGTACCTGCAATGCTATAGCGTCTAGTTACAGATTTATTAAAACTTATGATAATACTAAGTACGGA